TATTTCATATATTATATTATATATTTCATATATTATATTATATATTTCATACGCGGGGGGGGGAAGTAGTATAACTTAGACCATAATATATATAGATTAATATATAATCAGTATATATATATATAATATATAGATAAAGAGAGTATATTATTGAAATATATAATATAATGGAGTATAATATGTATAATATAATAATCACCCGCCTATACGGGTTCCTGATATTATTAAAAAGGTATTATATATATATATTAGATAGTCCTCCCATTATTAATTATAGGCCTATAATAGTGGGAGGAAATATTAGATAAATCTTATATATATATATATATTCTCTATATAATATATATAATATATTAAAGATTATTATATTATATATAATATATAATAATATATAATAGATAAAAAAATATATATATAATATATTAATAATAATATATATACAATATATATATACAAGGACCCCCCCTTTTTTCAAGGGGGAGTATATTATATAAGGAGGTATATAAGAAGATATATATATATCAAATATAAATATTAATATTTATATAATATAGAGGATATATTTTTATATATAATATATATGGTATATATATTAAGTATTTTTTTTCCTCTCTTCCATTATTTATAAAATAATAATATTATACTTTTAGTTTATTTATATATTCATACTAACAGGGAGATATATTATTATTAATAATATAATATTAATATCATAATACCATGTAGTGGAAGTATTATCAGATAATATATTATAATATATAATGAAATATTATATTATATAATATATTATAAAATATAATATAATATAACAGGGACCCGTAAATGATATAGCGGCAGGGAGATATATTATATTAAATATATATCTCTTTGTCCGCCTTGGGATTTAAATTTAAATAAGGGGGGATCCTGTATATTATTAATAATATTAATATATATGAGATATATATATTACTTTTCCAATAGTATAATTATTCTTTTAATCTACGTATAATATAGTAGTAGATGATTAAATGGTCCAATGGAGTAAAATATAATTTATTTGTATATTTATAATATAATAATAATATATATATTAATGTATTATATTAAATAATAATATGAATAAGATTGTATAAGGTGTATATATTATACTACTCCATCTGAAAGGATGATACTATATAATATTATATAATATATACAGGGAGATATATAATATATATATAATATATAATATATAATATAATATAATATAATATAAAGGTATATATCATTATATAATATAAAGGTATATTGGGGGGTATTATATTTTAATAATAATATAATATGTAAAATATATGATATAATATAAAGGTATATACAGGGGGTCGCCATTTAATTACATTTCATTACATTTCATTATATTTAATTACATTTCATTATATTTAATTACATTTCATTATATTTCAATATATTTCATTATATTTAATTACATTTCATTATATTTCAATATATTTCATTATATTTAATTACATTTCATTAGCGGGAGAGATAATGGATATTATAAGATATAAAGGAGTATATAGGTATTATATATAATATATATATATATATAGGGTCCTGTGTATGAAGTATGCGGGTATTATATAATATAATTATTATATATAATTATAATATATTATTATATAATATATAAAAAATATATATTATAGGTAGGGAGATATATAAAATATTCATATATATTAATAGGATATAATATAGATATTATAAATATAAAAGGTATATAATATGGTAATTAATCTTATAAGTAAATAATATAATTAATAATATAATTATAAAATATATAATAATATATAATTATATATATAAAAAAATAAAAAATAGAGAATTAGCTTAATTGGGTATAGCATTCGTTTTACACACGAAAGATTATAGGTTCGAATCCTATATTTTCTATCATTTTTGTATAAAATATTAATATAATAATAAATATAATATAATACAAAAAGAATAATAATAAATATAATAATAAATAAATAAATATATTATATAATAAGGATCTTATTATTATCTAATAAAAGATATGAGTGAGTATATATATATATATATATTAAAGATAAAAGGGGAATAATAAATAAAAAGAATGACACATTTAGAAAGAAGTAGACATCAATTATATCCATTTCATATAGTAATACCATCACCATGACCATTAATAGTATCATTATCATTATTATCATTAGCATTATCATTAGGATTAACAATGCATGGATATATTGGTAATATAAATTTAGTATATTTATCATTATTTGTATTAACATGTAGTGCATGTTTTTGATTTAGAGATATTATTGCTGAAGCAACATATTTAGGTAATCATACTATAGCTGTTAGAAAAGGTATTAATATAGGATTTTTATTATTTGTATTATCAGAAGTATTAATTTTTGCTGGATTATTTTGAGCTTATTTTCATATAGCTATAAGTCCTGATATTCTATTAGGTAGTTGTTGACCACCAGTAGGAATTGAAGCTATTAAACCAACTGAATTACCATTATTAAATACTATTATTTTATTATCATCAGGTGCTACTATTACATATAGTCATCATGCATTAATTAATAGAGATAGAAGTAAAGCATTATCAGGATTATTAATTACATTCTGATTAATTGTTATTTTTGTAGCTTGTCAATATATTGAATATACTAATGCTACATTTACTATTACTGATGGTGTATATGGTTCAGTTTTCTATGCTGGTACTGGATTACATTTCTTACATATGGTTATGTTAATTATTATGTTAGGTATTTGCTATTGAAGAATAAGAAACTATCATTTAACTTCTAATCATCATGTCGGATATGAAACTACCGTTTTATATTGCCATGTCTTAGATGTTATCTGATTATTCTTATATATTTGCTTCTATTGATGAGCTCTAGTTTAATATATTAAAACACCCATAGTTATATATAATTAATATTCTATATACATTATTATTATTATTCTTTATATAATAAACCCAATATACAAAATATATATATAATATTTTTTTTATTTTTTATTATATTATATATTATTATATAAATATTATATAAATATTATATAAATATTATATAAATATAATATTACTTAATATCTATTACCCACCCCCCCATCCCCTACAGGAAATGGGTTATATATATATTTAATATATATATTTAATATTTATATATATTATATAATAGCCTCCCCCCTATAATAAATATCTATATATATAATATAATTATATGATATCCATAATATGTAAATATTAATTATTTCCCCTATTATTTTATATATTTATATATTATACACAAATATAATATATAAATATTATATTTATAATATCAGGAATCCGCATACAAAGTACCTGGGAGATATAATAGATATATATATAATCTTTGTATATATAAATATTAAATGTATTACCCTAATAATATATTATATTAACTCTAATATCATATATACATCTTCCCTGCCGCTATGCGGCAAGGAAATACATAATATATCTATATCTATATCTATATCTATACCATATTAATAATATTATCAATATTTATGATATATATTATATATCTCTATATATATATATATTATCTCTCATATATATAATATAATTATACCTCTGTTATATAATATACAGGGATTCCCCCCACCCGAAGTGGGAGTATTTATATTGTAGATATATATTATAATGAGTACAATATAATATATATATATTATATATTATTATTATGTATATTATATAATATAATTTATTATATATGACGGAAAATAGTAATCAATAATATTGATCTTTATTATATATAATATATGTATTATACATATTACATATAATATAATTATATCTCTGTTATATATAATATTCTCCCACGGAGTGGATCCCTAATAATATAGTAAATATAAATATAGTGGATATAATATTATTATATCATATTCTATATTATTATTATATTATATAATAATATTATTATATAATATTAATTATCATATTATGATATATAATATACTGGGGCAGGGCAGTATTTATATATTATATAAATATAAATTATATATTCTGATTATCTATTAGTATATAATATTATATACTCCCCCCCCTATAATCCCCCCCCCCTCTTGTAGTCTTGTAGTCTTGTAGAGGGGGGGGGAGGAGTATATTAGATTATTATCTAACAATAATAATAATATCTCCCGCAAATGATATAGCGGACAGGGACCCGCATATGATATAGCGGGAGGTAAATATATATTTTACCTATACGAAGGTATTTCTGATATTAATAAGTTATGTATTTCATTCTAACTAATATATTAGTAACTATTCATAATATGTATATTATATTATACATAATAATATATATAATATTATAATAGAAATATAAAAAGGGTATATATATAATATATAAATGAATATATATTTATATTTTCCTTCTAACAGAGGGAAGATATTATCTCCCTGATATTATATAATAATATACTTCATATATATATATTAATATATATAATTAATATATAAATATAATATATTTATATGACAGGGACCCCTTTTAGGGGGGGAGGTAAATAAAAAGAATATATATATATATATATTAAATATTTATTTAATAAATAATATATAATTTATATCTTATATTAAAGAGATGAAGAGAATCGAACTCTTATTATGTAGATCTGCAATCTAATAGTTTAACCGTTAAACAACACCTCCATAATAATATTATTACAACAGATAATATAATAATAATATTATAGGGACCTGTATAGCGGACAGGGTATAATATGGGATATTATTATAATAATTAATACCCCGCCTTACAGGCGGGGGGGGGATACTTATATGAATATATTTATTATATTAATATAGTAGATATATATATATATAATATATAATATAAATATATATATATATATATAAAAGTAAGTTAAATAATGTAAATATAATTTAATAGGTAGAATGTATGTTTTTAGGGGCATATTATCTAAGTTCGAATCTTAGTATTTACATATATATAATATGCTTTTAAAGGGAATCGAACCACATGTATATAAATCTTCAGTTTATTGCTTTACCACTAAGCTATAAAAGCTATAATATTAATTATTATATCATATAAATTATTATTACTTATAATAATATTATATTATAATATTATAAGTAAATGTAATATTATATTAATAGATAAAAGTAAGTATTATAATTTATATAATAAATATATATATTTATATAGGAAGGGTTTTCAATGTTGGTAGTTGGAGTTGAGCTGTAAACTCAATGGTTATATACCTTCATAGGTTCGATTCCTATCCCTTTCATATATTATATAATTACCATTCCATATATTTTATATATAAAGAAAGTATATAATAATATATATATGGAAAGGTTAAATATAATTATTATCATATAAATAATATCAAATTATATATATAATAATAATATATAATTATAATGTTTTTATAGCTTAAAGGTTAAAGCATCTCACTGTTAATGAGATTATATAGGTTCAATTCCTATTAAAAACTAATATATATATATTATATCTTTAAGGGGTTATATTTTAATTTGGTAGAATTATTGTGTTGCATACAATAGATATGAGTTCAAATCTCATTAACTCCAATATATTATATATATATATATATATAATAATAATAATATATATATTATAATATAATATAATATAATATATAAAAATATTATATATAATATATTATAACAGGGACCCGCTAATGAAATGTAATTAAATGTAATTAAATGTAATGATATAGGGACCCGCCTTTTCAAAGCGGGAGATATTATTATATTAAAGATATTGAAACTATAATTCAATAGGTTAGAATAGTATTTTGATAAGGTACCAATACAAGTTCGATTCTTGTTAGTTTCATAATAATATATAATATATTGATAATTATTATAATTATAATATATATATTGTTATATATATTAATATAGGTTAGTTGACTGAGTGGTTTAAAGTGTGATATTTGAGCTATCATTAGTTATATTTAACTACGTAGGTTCGAATCCTACACTATCCGATTTATATTAATATTTAATATTAAATGTGTGGAATATTGAACCCAGGGAAGATCCTAGGTTTGAAACCTACACTATCCAATTTATATTATTCGTGTGGTATATCGAATACAGGGAAGATCCTAGTGCTCAAATACTACACTATCTGGTATATATTAATATATTTAATATTAAAAATATGGTATGTCGAATCCTACATTCTCCAATTTATATTTAATTATTATATTAAATATATAGTATATTAATTACTTAATAAAAGGTTCAAATCTATATCATTTAATTTATATTAAATTATTATATTAAATATATAGTATATCCACCTAGGATAATCCTAGGTATAAATTATAGATTATATAATCTATATAAATAATTATATAATAAGATATATATATTTCTCAAATATATATATAAAGTATATTTGAGATCTACACTATCCGATTAATATTAATATTATACCCCCCCCTCTATGATCTATGATCTATGATCTATGATCTATGAGGGGGGGGGAGTAGTATATCGGATTTAGGTATATACCCTAGGTTTTAATTTTATAAAATCTATAATATATTAATAATAATATATTGAGTTCTCCTTAAGAAATATTTTAAATATATAGGGATTCATATAGTGAGATATTCTATAATTTTATATTATATGTATATATATATAATATATATTATATATATTAATCTTTAATAAAGATTAGATAAGATAAGATAATCTAAGATAAGATTATTATTTTATACTTCCACACTCCCCCTCTATGATCTATGATCTATGATCTACGAGGGGGGTGTGGTAAGTTATATATATATAATATATTATCATAAAATAATGATTAATATACTATACTATATTATATATATAATATATATATATATTAGGGAATATATATTTATATATATAAATATATTAGGTATATATATTATGAGAGTATATTTAAGATGATTATACATCATACCCGCCCCCTCTATTACAAGGCCCCACTTATAAAGAAGTTATTCGTGGCAAGGCCCCACTTATAAAGAAGTTATTCGTAGGAGAAGGGGGGGGGCGGTATAGTATAATAACAATATATCATATTATATTATATATAATATATATACTCGTATAATGGATAATTTATATATATTAAAATATAAAAAATATAATATAACAGTAACCTGTATAGGTTCTCCTGGAGAATATATATAAAGGATATATTTGATATTTATACTATTCGATATATATTTATATAAATAATATATGGTATATCAATTACCTACCATAAGGTAATATGTGAGTCCTACACTCCCACACCCCTAGGAGGAGGGTGTGGGAAGTATAATATCGTTAATATCTATATATTATATGAATATCAAATCATATATTATCTTCCGTATCACAGGTCCCTGATATAATATTGATAGTATATATATATACATATATATATATGGGGAGGGGATAAGATTTTATATTATCTTCCGTATCACGGATCCCTGTATATATTATATATGATAATATATATAATATGTGAGATATGGGATAAATTCATAAGGATTTAAATACTATACTACCATATAGCTTTCTACTGGGTAGGGTGGGGGGTAATATATTATATATTACTATATAAGTAATATTTCTATTCTTTATTAGAGATATTATTATTAATATATTTAATAATAATAAATAATAATATATATTTTCATATAGTGTAAAGATATATATTTATATAAATATATATATATATATAATAATGAGATAATATATATTATTATAATAAATAAAGAGAGTACATTATAATAAAAATAATAATAAAGTAATAATATATAAATTAATAAAATAAATATATATAATATATATATATAATATATATATATATATATCAACTATTATAGTAAAGATATTATATGATAGGACAGGGTATATAAAAATATATATTATATAGGATTCCGTGTACTTCCTAGGTGGGGGGGGGGTAGGGAATAATATATAAATATATATGTTAAAGATATATAATTAATAGGATATAAAAAGTGGTACAAAGATGATTATATTCAACAAATGCTAAAGATATTTCAATTATGTATTTTATTTTAGCATTATTTAGTGGTATAGCAGGATCAGCTATGTCAATAATTATTAGAATGGAATTAGCAGCGCCAGGATCACAATATTTACATGGTAATAATCAATTATTTAATGTATTAGTAGTAGGTCATGCTGTATTAATGATTTTTTTTTTAGCGATGCCAGCATTAATTGGTGGTTTTGGTAATTATATGTTACCATTAATAATTGGAGCGACAGATATATCATTTCCAAGAATTAATTCAATTGGTTTTTGATTATTACCGATAGCATTAGTATGTTTAGTACTATCAACATTAGTAGAATCAGGGGCGGGTACAGGTTGAACAGTTTATCCACCTTTAGCTTCAATTCAAGCTCATTCAGGGCCTAGTGTTGATTTAGCTATTTTTGCATTACATATAACATCAATTTCATCATTATTAGGGGCTATTAATTTTATTGTAACAACATTAAATATAAGAACAAATGGTATGTCAATGCATAAAATACCATTATTTGTATGAGCTATTTTTATTACAGCATTTTTATTATTATTATCATTACCAGTATTATCAGCAGGTGTAACAATGTTATTAATGGATAGAAACTTTAATACTTCATTCTTTGAGGTAGCTGGTGGAGGAGATCCAATTTTTTATCAACATGCTTTTTGATTCTTTGGACATCCTGAAGTATATATTTTAATTATTCCAGGATTTGGTATTATTTCACATATTGTATCAACATATTCTAAAAAACCAGTATTTGGTGAAATTTCAATAGTATATGCTATAGCATCAATTGGTTTATTAGGATTCTTAGTATGATCACATCATATGTATATTGTTGGTTTAGATGCTGATACTAGAGCTTATTTCACATCAGCAACAATAATTATTGCTATTCCTACTGGTATTAAAATTTTTAGTTGATTAGCTCTAATTTATGGTGGATCAATTAGATTAGCTGTACCTATAATGTTTGCTATTGCATTCTTATTTTTATTCACTATTGGTGGTATAACAGGTGTAGCTTTAGCTAATGCATCATTAGATGTAGCATTCCATGATACATATTATGTTGTAGCACATTTCCATTATGTATTATCAATAGGAGCTATTTTCTCATTATTCGCTGGTTATTATTATTGAAGCCCACAAATGTTAGGTTTAGATTATAATGAAAAATTAGCACAAATTCAATTCTGATTAATCTTTATTGGTGCTAATATCGTATTCTTACCTATGCATTTCTTAGGTGTAAATGGTATGCCTAGAAGAATCCCTGATTATCCTGATGCTTTTGCTGGTTGAAATTATGTTTCTTCTATTGGTTCTATTATCGCTATAGCTTCATTATTCTTATTTATTTATATTATATATGATCAATTAGTAAATGGTATTACTAATAGAAACACTCATAAATTAATTTATAAAACTCCTGACTTTATAGAATCTAATAGAATCTTTAAATTTAATGTTATTAAATCTTCTTCTATTGAATTCTTATTAAATTCACCCCCTGCTGTTCATGCTTTTAATACTCCTGCCGTTCAATCTTAATATTATTAATATTCTTTTATTATTATATTATTACTATATAATATATATATATTATATATATTTTTATATACTATATATATATATAGTTTACTATATTATTATAATTTTTCATATATATTATTATTATATCATAATAACAGGGAGATATTATATCTTTAATATATTAATATAATATTATAAATATATAAAACAGGATATTATAATATACACTATATCTCATATATATATATTATTTATCATAATAATATCATTATATAGATTATATATTAATAATCTTCCTATAATATTTAATAATATTATATAATATATCTAACAATATAATATTATTGTCTATCACCCCCCCCCCTCTCTCTAATATATCATAGTATATCATAATATATCATAGTATATCATAATATACTCTAGAGGGGGGTTAGTCTGGTAGATATTATATTATTAATATATATCATATTAATATTATAATATTATTATTTATATAATATAAATAAGGGGTCCGTCCCCCTGCCACAGAGTTATAAATGGGTTCCTGTAAAAAAGGGGGGGGGCGGAGTATAGATATATAATTTATTATATGATATAATATATATATTGATATATATATGTTTTTATTTATATTAAATTGATATTAATCTACTATATATATTATAGTGTTGAAGAATATCATAATAAATAAATGACAATAGGATATGCCACAATTAATTCCATTTTATTTTATGAATCAATTAACATATGGATTTTTATTATTTGTTGTATTATTAGTATTATTTTCACTAATTTTATTACCAATAATTATGAAATTATATGTATCTAGATTATTTATTACTAAATTATAATGAATAATATACCATTTTATATTACTTTTCCTACCTAGTATTGTTATCATCGTATAAAAGGAAAGTAATATATTTACTATATAATCTATATATTATTTAGATTTATTAATATTTATATATATTATATATAATTATTATAAATAAAATATTTATTTATATTTAAATAATATTAAATATTATTAATAATAATTATATATTACTGGGTCTGCCATCCTCCGCTCTTTATATTATTAATATACTGCTCCTCCTACCACTGAGTTATAAATAGGTTCCTGTATTGAAGGGAGTACCTATTTATTAATATATTAATATGAGTGGGGGTGGTGATAGGTATCCACAAGTGGATATATATATAAATTAATATATATATATATATATATTATACTGCCCTCCTTATTGGAGTATTATTCCTGATAATATTATTATAATAATAAATATAATAATAATTATATATTATATATTATATTATATTATGTTAAATAATATTATATTATTTTTATATAATATATCATATCCGGCCTCCTTTCAGGAAGGCCGGGTATATATTAATATTTCAATATAATAATATATATTAATATATTATATTGTATATATATTATATATATATAATACTTTATATCTGGATTCTTTCATAAGACCGGGTACATATTAATATTTTAATAAAATATTATATATATTATTATATTATATATAATATTATATAGGGACCCGCAATATCATTTGCGGGCAGGGACCCGCAAATGATATTGCGGGAGGGTATGGGAGTATTATGTTATATTTATAACATATTCCATATCCAGTTCCTTACAGGACCAGGTAGATATATATCAATATAATATTATATATTATATATTATATATATTATATATATATATATATATTTATAGGATATATAAAAATTATTATAGAATAATATGAGAACATTTATTAATTCACCATTAGATCAATTTGAGATTCAGCTAGTAATAGGATTTCAACTACCATTAATGAATTTAAGTAATTTAAATATTACAACATTTACTATTTTTAGTATAATTTTATTAATTGTTGTATTATTTTTATATTTATTACCTAATAATAATATTATTGGTAATAAATGAATAGTATTTAATGAAATTATTTATGATACTATTATAAATATAATAAAAAATATAGTACAAAGTGATATATCAAAAAGTAATCAAGGTATGTTATATTTTCCTTTAATTTATACATTCTTTGTATTTATTATGTTAGCTAATTTATTAAGTTTAATTCCTTATACTTTCTCATTAACATCTAACTTTATGTTTATTATAGCATTAAGTATAACTGTATGATTTGGTATAACTATTTTAGGATTATATAAACATGGTTTAGTTTTCTTTTCATTATTTATCCCTCATAATACACCATTAGTATTAGTACCATTATTAGTTATAATTGAAATATTATCATATATAGCTAGAGCTGTTTCATTAGGTTTAAGATTAAGTGTTAATAATCTGCGCTGGACATTTATTATTAAGTATTTTAAGTGGATTATTATTTAATTTTATGTCTATTAGCTTAATTACTTTATTTTTAGGCTCTATCCCTTTATTAGCTATCTTAGCTATCTTCTTCTTAGAAATCGCTATTGGTTTAATTCAAAGTTATGTTTGAAGTATCTTAACCGCTTCTTACTTAAAAGATGCTTTATACTTACATTAATTATTATATAATCATTAATATTTATATTAATATATATATTATATTATATAATATCTATTAATATTCTTTTATTATATACTCTTAATCTTATCTCTCATATTATCATTCATTTATTTATACTTAAATATATATATTATATTATTAATAATAATATAATATTAATATAATTTATATTTATATATAAATATCATATATCATAATATATAAATTATGTATCCCACTATACCTCACCCCCCCCCCCACCCTTGAAAAGGGTGGGGAGAATATATAATATATCTCCCTGTATAATATTATTATATATATTATATATATATAATATATATATATAATCTATTATATTATATACCCCCCCTTTTTCAGGGGGTTATAAAAAGGTATTATAATATATGAGAGATATTATATATAATATATAATATTATAATCTTATATATATATTATAATATAATAAATATTATATAATATTATTATTATTATTAAATAATAAATAAAATATATTCAACATATATATTATCAGGGACCCCCCCCCTTATTGGAATATTGGAATATTGGGATATTAGAATATTGGAAGGGGGGGAGATATTTACATATTTTATATAGGATAATAATATTTATTATTATAAATAATATAGTAAATATTATATATAATATAATTATTATATATTTTACTACCGTCCAATATTATAAGTTATATGTTATTACTCTTACCGTATGTGGTGGTATATCTAATAATAGATATATTCCTATCCTATTATTAATAATAATAATATTAAAAAGAGAATAAAGCAGTATATCGCTATTATTATTATAAATATAATTATATAATATTATATAATATAATATATTAACATTATTAATAATAATATATCTCCCTGTATATATCCTTAATATATATGTTTATATATTTCCTCTCATCATGGGATCTACTCTTTCATGTTTTATGTGTGGGGATGGACCTGCAATTTCTACATCAAAGCAGGGAGGAACCCGCCATATCATTTGCGGGGAGGGACCCGCCTTTTCAAAGCGGGAGAATAGTATATAATGTAATTATATCATATATTATTAAATATATATTATGGATAGTATAATATTTATATTAAAGGTATTTATTGAATCTAATATACCACAGATTAATATTAATTGGATAGTATAGAATATCAACCTAGGTATTCGATATCTCACATATATTATATAATATATATTATTATAAAATATAATAATATAAGATACGAACGTATAATCTTTTCTGGATTTAATAATCCATACATTTAATATTATAATGAATATTATTACTTCCTACATACCCCCGGTAGGGGGTATATTATATATAATATCTATATATATATAATATACTATTTAATTATATATTATTATATATAATATAATATAATATAATATTATATTATTATATCATAATATTAGTATATATTGAAGTATAATATTATATATAATATAATTATATATATATATCAGGGGGCCCGCGAACAAAGTACGCGGGAGGGCCCGGAAGGATTATTCTATTATATAATATAATATTTATAAAAGAAAGTGATATAATAAATAATTATATATATTATTATATAATAAAGATAATAATATTATCTGTTTTTTTTTTGAAGTATATATATATATATATATAATATATATATATAATATTATATTATCTATAATAAGATCTTATCGTCTAATGGTTACGACATCACCTCTTCATGTTGAAAATATCGGTTCGAATCCGATTAAGATTAATAAAGACCGATAATTATATTTAATAAATATAAATATAATTATAAATTAATAATAAATATTATTATAAATACCCGTTATACGGAATATATAAATAATATATATAAATATTTATTATAAATAATATTATATAATATAATAATATGTTATATAATATAATAATATGTTATATAATATAATATAATATATAATATATATATATAAAATATATAATACTACTACTTTATCATATAAAAAGGGGGGGGGAGAAGAACCTTATAATAGAGGGCAGGGCAGTATAATATAAAATATAATATATATATTATAATATAATAAATATATTAATATAATTATATTAAATATAATAAGGTATAATATAATATAATATATTATATTATAATAAATATAATAAGGACCTCCTCTTAAGGAGGAGGTAAGTGGATAATATATATATAGATAAGATATATATATTAAATATGATATATAATTAATAAAAAGGGTATATTAAGTATAGATATATATAATATATATGATATAAAGATATATATATATATATATAATATAAAGATAAGGTTATGACATTTAGAAAATCAAATGTATATTTAAATATAGTGAATAGTTATTTAATTGATTCACCACAGCCATCATCAATTAATTATTGATGAAATTTAGGGTCATTATTAGGGTTATGTTTAGTAATTCAAATTTTAACAGGTATTTTTATAGCAATGCATTATTCATCAAATATTGAGTTAGCATTTTCATCAGTAGAACATATTATGAGAGATGTTCAAGGTGGTTGAATTTTAAGATATTGTCATGCTAATGGTGCATCATTTTTTTTTGCTTGTATGTATATGCATATAGCTAAAGGATTATATTATGGATCATATAGATCACCTAGAACATTAACATGAATTATTGGAGTAATTATCTTTGTAGCTACTATAGCAGCAGCTTTCTTAGGTTATTGTTGTGTATATGGACAAATGTCACATTGAGGTGCTCTTGTTATTACTAATTTATTTTCAGCTATCCCATTTGTTGGTAAAGATATTGTTGAATGATTATGAGGTGGTTTTTCAGTATCTAATCCTCTAATCCAAAGATTCTTTGCTTTACATTATTTAGTCCCTTTTGTTATTGCTGCATTAGTTATTATGCATTTAATAGCTTTACATGTTCATGGTTCATCTAATCCATTAGGTATTACTGGTAACTTAGATAGATTACCTATGCATGGATATTTTATTTTTAAAGATTTAATTACTGTATTTGTATTTTTAATTATCTTTTCATTATTTGTATTCTATTCACCTAATACATTAGGTCATCCTGATAATTATATCCCTGGTAATCCAATAGTAACACCAGCTTCTATTGTTCCTGAATGATATTTATTACCATTCTATGCTATTTTAAGATCAATCCCTGATAAATTATTAGGTGTTATTCTAATGTTTGGCGCTATCTTAGTTTTATTAGTTTTACCTTTAACTGATAGAAGTGTTATTAGAGGTAATACTTTTAAAATTATCTCTAAATTATTCTTCTTCTTATTCGTATTTAATTTCATTTTATTAGGTGTATTAGGCTCTTGCCATGTTGAAGTACCATTCGTTCAAATGGGACAAATCGCTACATTCTTATACTTCGCTTACTTCTTAATCTTTGTTCCTATTATCTCATATATTGAAAATATTTTATTCTATATCGGTAATTTTAATAAATAATTTATAATTAATATTCTTATTCCCCCCCCCTACCCTGCCCGCCTTAAAAAACGGGTCCATATATATATATTATTATATATATAATATAGAATTATATATATCATATTATTATTATTATATTATCATATTATATAATAATATATAAATTATATATAAATATAATATATATTATATTAATTATTATTCCTCCTTATTAACTATAATTAATATATTATTCTCATAATAATATTAATAATAGATATTTATAAGTATTATATATATAATATATATAATAATATTATATATTATTATTATATAAACACCTAATAGATTATATTATTATTATAGTCTCTCTCACTTTATAAATTTATTATTATATAATATTTATTATTATATAAATAATATATTATATTATATTATATTATATATTTATTAAATATATACTGAATATATATATTAAATATATATAATCTATATATTATATTATCAGGGACCCGCTAATGAAATGTAATTAAATATAATGAAATGTAATTAAATGGCGACCCCCTCCCGCTATATCATATGCGGGTCCCTGTCCGCTATATCATATGCGGGTCCCTGTCCGCTATATCATTGCGGGTCCCTCCCCGCTTTGATGTAGAAATAGCGGCCCCCTATATATTATATATTAATTTATTGTATATATTATATATATCTTTTATAATATATAATATATATCATATTATTATTATATTATACAATATTCTTATGTATTAATATTAATATATATATATATATATTAATATATATTATATATATTTTTTCCTCCCGCGAAGCGGGTCCCTGCCCGCTTCGCAGGTCCCTATTATAGTATAATATTATAATCTATATTATATTATATTATATTATATTATATTATAATATAATAATTATTAAGTAATAATATAATAAATATTAATTTACCACTCATTTATAGTATAATACTATATAATATATTAATATACTCCCCTGCCCTCCCACTATATCATTGCGGGTCCCTGTTATATATTATATAATATGTCATATTATACTTTATAATAATATATCAATTATCTTATATATATTAGATATATATTTTATATATATATTATATATATTTATATAATAGAATATATTATACCATATTATATTCCTTAATAAATATTAATCTTTATTAAGATATTTATGATATAAAATATATTATATTATATCATAATATATATATTATCAATATATAATTATATTATATTATATATTATAATATACAGGGACCCCCCCACCCGAAGGGAGGGGGGGGGGGAGTATTTATATATATATATATATAATTTCTCTATATATAATATTATTATTATTATTACATATTTAATATATTAGAATATTATCTATTATATATAATTATATTATGAATAATATTATTATAAATATATAGATTATAGACAATAGATAATAGATAATATAATATAGAGAATATACTTGCCTCCACCCCAAAAATGGGGAGGGGTCCTGCTATATATATCATAAAATATATATAATATATTAATAGATATATAGAAATTATATAATCAAGGATCCGTAAATGAAATGTAATAAAATGTAATTACAATATAATGGAATGTAATGAAATAGCGGGCAGGGACCCGCATAGTGGACAGGGACCTGCATAGCAGGAGATTATATATAATCAGGGACCCGACTTGAAAAGGCGGGAGATTATATATTATAGATTAAATAATCTATATTATAGAGATATAATATATATTTTCCCTCTAAAAGGGAACTTACTATTATTATCCCTATTAATATGGTATATTATAATATAATAATATCTATATTTTATATTTATTATTATATTATTATTATATTATATAATAATATAATATATAATATATTTCCTATATATTATATATAATAATATAGTAGTAGTAGATACTTTTTTATAACAGGGATATATATCAGATATATATATATTTATATATTATATAATAATATATATATATATTATAGTAGTAAGTATATTAGAATCTACTATATAAATTTATATATAAAGAATAAGGTAATACTTAAATATTATATATTAAGTATATAATATTTATATTCATAATACCTCTTGCATATATAGATCCCTAAAATAATTATAATATCTCCCTGTCTCTCCCGCTTTGAAAAGGCGGGTCCCTGTTATTATATATTATAATATATAATATATATATATATAATATATGATTATAAATTAATATATAATATTATATAAAATATAATCTAATATATTATTATAAAGATAATATGAGTGGGAGGGGAGTATAATATATATATATTATATATTAATATTTTTCATATTATATTATTATAATTATATTATAAGTAATATAAATAATATATATATATATATTATATAAAAATATAAGGTATAAAATATATGAATAATAAAATATATATGTAATATGATGTAATTGGTTAACATATTAGGTTCATGACCTAATTATATACGTTCAAATCGTATTATTACTCATATAATATATCATTATATGATATAATATAATATTTAATTATAGGATATATAATATAATATATTATATAAAAATATAATATATAAAAATTATTAAGGAAAATCATAATAATAATAATATATAAATTATAATATTAATAATTATTTGAAAAGAATAATATATATTATTATTAATAATAATCATAATATATAATATATATATAATAATATATATATTAATATATAATAGTTATATATAATACAAAAATATGTTTATATATTTAAATATTAAATATCATATATTTGATATTATTCAGATAGAAGCCAAATGGTCAGGCGCTTTCTTTGGGTGAAAGATCTAGTTAGTTCGATTCTATCCTATCTGATATTTTACCCTCCCGCTATATCATTGCGGGTCCCTATCCGCTATATCATTTGCGGATCCCTACCCTAATTAAATAAATAATAAATTTATATTATTTATTATAAATATAATATCATAATATTTTTATTATATATATATTCATTATATATTATAATATATATTATAATATATGAATAATATTAAGTACTAATATATATATATAATATACCTTATCTGATATTAAATATAATCTATTTCTTTATATTATCAGGGACCCCCCCCCTTATTGGAATATTGGAATATTGGGATATTAGAATATTGGAAGGGGGGGGGGGGAGTATATATATTAATCTGATATATAATAATATATATATTATATTATAGGATAATAATATTAATAATAGGTATTAATATATGAGGGTATAATTAATTATATCTAGTTCCGCCCCTATCAAAATAAAGTAGATGCTATTCTAAATACTTTATAAAGGGGCGGATCTATATAAACTATTATATATTAATATATATTATATAATAATATAATATCTCCTGCGTACTTTGTATGTGGGTTCCTGTATATAATAATATTATCATTATTACCGTATAATAAATTAATTAATGAATAATTAATAATATATTTTCCCTGTCCATTTTGTGGATCCCTATTACATAAAGATCTTATATATATATAATATATATGTATTATAATATAGGATATAATATAAATATATATAATATTTAAGTATATTTTAATAATATGATATATATGTATATAATAAGATATATATATAATATATACCTGTTTCGATATAAGCCTTATTATAATTAAATATGGGATAAGCGGGTGCTCTAATAATATATATAATATTATATATATATATAAATATATATATATTTATATAAAAATATATAACTATCTATATATACTAATATATATATATTAGTATAAAATAGGAAATAAGTAAATATTATATTATAATATTATATTATATAATATAATAATATAGTAATATTCCTATTATATATAAATTATTATGATAGTGAATAATATATATATTATTAATAATATATATGATATATATATATAATATATATTATATTATGAGAGGATATAATATAAAGATATAATATAATATTATAGGGGGGGGGGAGGGAATATACTAATATATGTGTATTATAATTAATAATATAATAATAATATAATAATAATATTAAATAAAAGTAAGTATATCAGGTGGAGGGTGGAGGTACTGATATAATATGATATTATAAAATAGGATCTGTAGCTTAATAGTAGAGTATCATTTTGTCATAATGAAGGATGTCAGTGCAAATCTGATCAGATTCGTATAAGAATATTAAAAATATTAATAAGGATAGGTAAGATATAATATGGAAAATTCACCATAGGAAAGGTAGATTATTTGCTAAGTAATTGAATTAATATTCTGATGGGTTCGAATCCCATATTTTCCGATAATCTAAAAATATAATAAAAATATTATATATATAATATATATAATAATATTATTGATATATAAAAAATATAAAATATATTTAATATAATATAAATAAAATATAAATAAATATAGGTAAATATATTTCAATGGTAGAAAGAGTATTTGTGGTATACTATATCTAAGTTCGATTCTTAGTATTTACCCTATAAAATATAATATAATATATATAGTGAGACTCGGGGCTATAACAAAGGGGGTATTTGTAATATTATACTACATAATATTAGAAGTGGTATGATATTAAGGTAATTAATTAATATAATAATAAGAATATAGTTTAATGGTAAAACTATTGATTTCAAATCAATCATTAAGGGTTCGAATCCTTTTATTCTTGAATCAATAAAATGAATAAATTATAAGTAATAAATAATAGATTTGAAATAATTATAAAGAAGATTAAAAGAGATAATCATGGATTATAAAATTATTATATAATAAATATAATAAAGCTATTAATAGATATAGGTTACTAATGAATTAATAATGATTCTAATACCTAAGGGAAACCAAAAAATAAATAATAATATTATTATTAATAAAAAGTGATAATAATATATTTATTAAAATATAAATACTAAGTGAACTGAAACATCTAAGTAACTTAAGGATAATAAATCAACAGAGATATTATGAGTATTGGTGAGAGAAAGTAATATAGCCTATAAGTATTATGTAAAATAAATATAAGAATATATAATATATATATTATATAATATATAATATATATATATAAAGGGATTAACAAATTCTAAGGCTAAATACTATTAATAAGTTTAAAGAGTACCGTGAGGGAAAGTATGAAATGGTTATTTTATAAGCAATCATATCATTATATGAAAATATTAATGAGATGATGTACCTTTTGTATAATGGGTCAGCAAGTTATTAATAATTGCGAAATAAGGACATTAAATATAAATAGAGAATAAAAAGTAATATAAATATTAATATAAAAATTAATTATAGGAGTAAATATTAATAGACCCGAAAGCAGATGATCTTACTTTAATAAGATGAGTATAAACGATCGAACAAGTTGATGTAGCAAAATCATTTGAATAATTAAGGTAAGTAAGTGAAAGACAAATCTGATCTGCAGATAGCTGGTTTTCTATGAAATATATGTAAGTATAGCCTTTATAATATATAATATTTAATATATAATATTATATATATATATAATATATATAATATATTAAAGGATGGTATAGCAATTAATATAAAGATTATTTATTAATAATAAATTCCCTAAGGGAAGTATTAAATCTCAAAATATTATATTATATAAAGTAAAGAGTCAGATTATGTGCGATAAGGTAAATAATCGAAAGGGGAACAGCCCAGATTAAGATATAAAGTTCCTAATTTAATATTAAGTGAAAAAAATATTAAAATATTAAAATATAATCAGTTAATGGGTTTGACAATAACCATTTTTTAATGAACATGTAACAATGCACTGATATAAAAAAATATATAAATGATATTAAAAATCATATATATATTAAAATATAATATATATATATATATGTTAATAAATAATATACGGATCTTAATAAATATTAAACTGAATATCTAAATATTATTAATAAAATTAATAATATGGTAATAGAACATTTAATGAGGATATATATTAATTAATAATTAATATATAAAATAATAATTAAATAGAGAATGCTGACATGAGTAACGTTAAAAAAGTATAAACTTTTTCACCTAAAGCATAAGGTTTTACTATAAAAGTACGGCCCCTAATATAATATATCTAAAGATATAATAGATGGGTAAATCTAAATTAATAATAAACATTAATAATAATATTATAAATAAAAATAATATTAAAATTAATCAGGAAAAGGATTAATAAATACCGTAATGAAGACCGACTCAGGTATGTAAGTAGAGAATATGAAGGTGTATTGGATAATTAAGGATAAGGAACTCGGCAAATATAGATCTAAGATTAGATAAGATAAATAAGAACAAGGTTGTACAACTGTTTAATAAAAACACAGCACTTTGCGGAAATGATAAATTAAAGTATAAGGTGTGAACTCTGCTCCATGTTCATTATATAAATAATATATTTGAGAGAGTATATTACTAAATATGGATAAATAGCAGCCTTATTATTGAGGGTTATAATGTAGCGAAATACCTTGGCCACTAAATATGGTCCTGCATGAATGACGTAATGATACAACAACTGTCTCATCCTTAAGCCAAGTGAAATTGAATTAGTCGTGAAGATGCGATTTTGGTATAGTTAGACAAAAAGACCCTATGCAGCTTTACTATAATTAGATAACTTGATTGATTATTAATTTTATTCAGAATATTAAGTAATTGATTAAATAAAATATGAGATACTTATTTTAATTATATAATTTTATCTTATCCATAATAATATATTAATATTAATTATTTATTTAATTCATATTAATGGAAACAGGTTCTAATTGGTAGTTTGAATGGGATGTTCTTTTCAGCAAATTTATCTGATAAAGTCCATATATAATAAAATTAATTTTATATATAAATTATAATATATTATATAAATATATTAATTATAAAAATATTGATATATAATCAATATATAATAGAATAAATAATGTATAGTTAAATTATTAAGAAAATAATATAATTAATCAACAAAAGCTTGTATATTTTTGTATGCGGGTGATATTAATTAAAGATTAATATAAATAAATATAATAGTATAACTATGCTATGATTGTAATACATACGGGTAGAACAAGTACGTAAGTATGGTATAATGAACAAATAATACTGATTGTAAGGATTATTGATAACGAATAAAAGTTACGCTAGGGATAACAGGGTAATATAACGAAAGAGTAGATATTGTAAGTTATGTTTGCCACCTCGATGTCGACTCAACCTATCCTCTTGGTTGTAACAGCTAAGAAGGGTTTGACTGTTCGTCAATTAAAAGGTTACGTGAGTTGGGTTAAATACGATGTGAATCAGTATGGTTTTTATCTACTATACCTAATTTATCAAATTAAATCTCATTATTAGTACGCAAGGATCATAATGAATTAACCTATGGTGTAATTATTAATATCATTATTATTTTAATTATATTATCGTAATTAAGCTAAGTTAATTAATAATAAATATTGAATACATATTAAATATGAAGTATTTTTAATTAGATAATTAAATTGATAATTATATACTATAATTTATTATAGTTATTAGTTACTTAATTATAACTAATTTACTAATTTATCAATTATCTCCTTTATATCTAATCTATTATTTATTTATTATATATTATATATTATAAATATATATATTATTATAGCCACAGAAATAATAATATTCCCTCTTAATATATTTATATTTTATATATATATATATCTATTATATGATAATATCTTATTATCAATAATCTTTTACGATAGAGATTGTATTTAAAATATTATTATTATTATAATATTATATAATATATAATATATTGATAATTATGATAATTATAATATAAAGAGTATATAATTATTATAATACTGTCACTCACTACACTCACCCCCCCCCTGAAAAAGGGGGGGTGAGTGGTTATACTAATATCTTAATATTCTCCCCCTTTAATATATTATATAATATTATATATTACTATTTTATATATATATATATATATATTATTATGAATAGTCTCATAGAGATAATATTATATATATCTATTATATATTACAGGACTTATTATTCTTCCCAATAGAAACCTATATTATTAATATGGTAAGGGTAGGGAGGGGGTTATAATTCAGAGTAAAATTTATTATATCTTATTATATTATAATATTATATTATATTATAATATAGATTTTCTAATTAATAATAAATATTATTTAAATAAAGAATTATATAAATAATAAAAAAATATTATATATATATAATATTTATATATATATATATATATAAATATATATAAAGTATATATAATTATATTATCCCTTCTTGTAATATAATATGTTTATTATTTATATGGGGAGGAGATATATATATATATATATATTATACTAATATATATATATTATATATAATATATAGAATATATTATGATTATATATATATGATATATATAATATTATATAACAAGAGAGTATTTATATATATGGGAAATTATATATATAATTAAACTATTAATATATAATATTATTATATTATTTGACTAATAATATTTTTCCGTGTACCTGTTATAATAAGGTGGACCCCACCCACCCCTGTCGGGTGGGTGGGAGTATATATATTAATCATATATATATATATAATATATATATTATATAATATATATATCTTAATATTATTAAGTATAAATATCTATAGATTAAATAATATATAATTAATATAATAGGATCTTATATTGTTAAGAGAGTTTTCCACTTCTATAGGATTTCATAATTAATATTATTAATTATGGGGGGAGAAAAGCGGGAGTAAAGACTATTAAGAGAATAATATATAAATATATAATATATATTAATATAAATATAAATATACCTTATTTAATTTTCCTTCTTATTATAAATAAGAATAAAATATAATAATTATATAATATAATATAATAAATAAAATATATAGGGGGATAATATATAGGATAGGTAAGATATTGATATGAAGCCTGCTTTCATCCTTAAAGATCATATTTAAAAATCATTCTTAGGTGGGGGGGGGCCATTTATAAATAAGTTATTAGTGGTAGGGAGCGGTAAAATATATTATTAAGATATATTAAATATCAATATAAAATAATATTATATATAATAATAAGATATATAATATTATAAGTAGTAAATATATAAATTAATTAAAAAAAGTAAGGATTAATTTATATATAAGAATATAAATTATACTACCGTCTAGTGGGTGCCTGATAATATTAATAAATATATAAAGAGTATAGTTATATTAGCTTAATTGGGTATAGCATTCGTTTTGTAATCGAAAGATTTAAGGTTCAAGTCCTTAATATAACATTAATAAATTAGACTAAATTAATATTATATTAATATTAAGAATATATAAAGAAAAAGATAAAAAATGTTAAGTATTATGAATATTATAACAACATTATATAATGATGTGCCAACACCATATGGATATTATTTTCAAGATTCAGCAACACCAAATCAAGAAGGTATTTTAGAATTACATGATAATATTATGTTTTATTTATTAATTATTTTAGGATTAGTATCATGAATATTATTTAATATTCTAAGAACATATACAAAAAATCCTATTGCATATAAATATATTAAACATGGTCAAACAATTGAAATTATTTGAACAATTTTACCAGCTGTTGTATTATTAACAATTGCTTTTCCATCATTTATTTTATTATATTTATGTGATGAAGTTATTTCACCAGCTATAACAATTAAAGCTATTGGATATCAATGATATTGAAAATATGAATATTCAGATTTTATTAATGATAGTGGTGAAACAATTGAATTTGAATCATATGTAATTCCTGATAGTTTATTAGAAGAAGGACAATTAAGATTATTAGATACTGATCTATCAATTGTTGTACCAGTTGATACTCATATTAGATTCTTAGTACTAGCTGCTGATGTTATTCATGATTTTGCTATTCCTAGTTTAGGTATTAAAGTTGATGCTACTCCTGGTAGATTAAATCAAGTATCAGCCTTAATCCAAAGAGAAGGTGTATTCTATGGTATGTGTAGTGAATTATGTGGTAGTGGACACGCTTTAATACCTATTAAAATTGAAGCCGTATCTTTACCTAAATTCTTAGAATGATTAAATGAACAATAATATAATATTATATATAGTCTATATATATATTATATATAATATTTTAATATTTTATATATATCTTTTTATATATAATAATTATTAATATTCTTCTTTTTATATATTATATTAATAATTTTATTAATTAATATTATTATACTCCCACTTTGTGGGTCCCTGCCCACTTTGCGGGTCCCTCCCCACTAATGAAATAGCAGAGTCCCTCCCCGAAGGGAGCCCCTCCCCGAAGGGGAGTATTACTAATATTTTTAGTATATGATAGTACTACTATCCTTATTATAAATATAGATATCAAAATTATATATTATTATTAATATCTTTATCTCTATATTATATTAATATAACTATAATTAATATACTAGGACCACCCCGAAGGGGAGTATTAATATATATTTATATATATATATTATATATATATTAGTTATAATATATCTATACCTTGTCATAGATATATTATTATATATTTAATATATATAATATAATCTTTATTATTGATTATATTAATTACTAGATAATATATACTTCCATACCCCCCCCCTGAAAAAGGGGGGTATCTCTGTTATATATATGAAATATGAAATATAATATATAAACCTATTATTATAATATAATTTATATTATATATTATATAATATAATATATAAGTTTATTATAATTATAATTTATATATTATATATACTCCCCCCCCCTTCCAATATACCAATATTCCAATATTCCAATATTCTAATAAGGGGGGGGTCCCTGTAAATATAGTATTTTATATATATTAAGAGTAGTTTATTATTTATAATATGTTCTATATTATATTATATTATATAATATTATTTAATTTTTTATTAAATATAATATATTATATATATTATAATGTATATTATATTATTTAGGTAATAATGTATATAATGATATAATAATTATATAATATTCGCTTCATTTATAATAATAATATAATATAAAATAATAATATATTGAAGTGGGTAGGGGAAAGTGTATATATAGACTATATATATATACAGATATCTACATAGGAGATATTAAATTATATTATATATTTATATATCTTTCGCATACTTTATATACTCCCCTTTTTTTTTCACTCCTTTATAAGTGGGGCCTTGCCACGAATAACTTCTTTATAAGTGGGGGCCCTGTATCTTTGTATATTCTTTTAATATACTATTATATATATATATAATATAGTAGAAGAAAATAATATCTAATATTTCACTATATTGATTATTATAGATATAATAGATCTTATTATATATATAATTTATTATTGATTAATAATATTAATATATATTTATATATATATGATATTATAATGAAATTATATAATATAATATAATAATAATAATTATATGTAATATATATAAAATATATTATATTGCAATATAATATAATTTATAAG